CTTGCAGCTCCACTGCCGAGCCCCATGAGGGGCCCGGCGGTGGACCTGCAAGGCCGGCGGGAGTGCAAGGAAGCCCCGCGAAGGCCCTCCCTGGCCCCAGGCAGGCAGGGGTGGGGAGAGGCAGGGAGGAAGCAACTTACCCTCCCTCTTCTCCTGCCTCCTCCTGGCTGAATGAGGGCTGGAAGCAGGGGGCGGGGCTTCGTCATGTGCCCCGCCCCCTGGTACCTCACCCGGGGGAACTGTGTTCCCCCGCGTTCCCCCCCGAAATGACCTCTGCTTGAAACTATCCATGGTGTACAAAGAGATAAACCAGCTCCACCCATTAAAGTCAAAAGAAGATTTAAAGCAAGAATAGGAGAGTGTCTCAGGTCTGGGGAATCAATGTAATAGGCGAGACCGTTGTACTGCTAGGCAGGAACGGGAGATGGTGACGGGATTCCCATCTCCAGATGCAAGATGTTAAGAAAGAGTTGCCTTCATCACACAGAGGTAAGCCAAGATGTTTGAAGACAGGATGCAACTTCCCCAGATCCATGCTGGTGGATATTAAAGGAATATTGATAGCTTGGGCTTCTGAATCCCCTCTCCTTATTGCCATTGAGAGCAAAACGTAGAGTTCACTTTGGGCTTTGTACCGCGGTTTCTGTTGGCAGAACTATCAGAGTTAACAAGGAACCAAAATTCTAAGTCTCCTCTTGAAATCAGCGTGACTGTCTGCTACCAAGTAATTGTTGTTTACTACCCTGTCATATATCTGACCCCTGTCTTTTGACTTTGACTGGTGTCGTGTACCAACCGCGGACTGCACACACGGTATTACAACTGGTGAGGCCAGCTTTGGTTTTAAGTATTCTGGAGAGAAGGGCCATGTTGTTTTTGTGATCTGGACAGTGGCTAACCTAACAATATAAACAAAAGGTAATGAAGAAGTGTGTCTGCACAGGAAAGCTTATACCCAGAATTAAACTTTGTTGGTCTTAAAGGTGCCACTAGACTCAAACTTTGTTCAAAGGGCACAATAAATATCTACCCAAATGCCTTGTCTGCCCAGGCTCATATAGTTGCTTCTTTCTCCACAGTAATGAAATTCTAATCAGAATCTATTTACTCTTGTCTCTCAGCACTAGTCAAGACACTGAGCTTAGGAAGAGAACTGTTGACGCTTCACCACACACTGAAGAGCTGGTGAAGCTGGAAGAAGAGGAGGAGGAGGAGAACACGGTGGCCACTTGGAAACCATTTCTGGTCAACATCTGTGTGTTCACTGTCCTCACAGCTGGAGCGTACCTCTGTTACAGGGCATGTTTTCATTGATGGACATAATCAGTGCCGGTACCCAGAAATGCCAGTGATGTGACTGGCATTTAAACCTGTTTCTGTAAAAAGAAAGCTTGGGGGGGGGGCATCCAAGCCTTGTCCCAGTGGGAAGTGTCTCTTAATTTTGAGAAGCTGGAACTTTGGTTAGGGCTTAAAAGAGAAAAATTGATGCACTAGGGTTTAATTTTTAGCCCTGTGGTCCCAAGAATTTAATATTCTAATCTCAGGGCCTTAAGATATTCAGGAGTAAGCAGAGAATATGCCAAATAAGTCTTGTGTTTTTTTAATTGTTTTTCCTTACTTTTAATGGAATAATAAGAGTTTACAACACATTGTTGTTCTTCTATTTTATTTTTAGTATTTTTAAAACCAGTTTTTTTTTTAATTTTCATTTTCATTTTTTTTCTCTCTCTCCAGAAAAGGAACTTTTAGGCACAGGTGAAAATTTGCTCCTATTCTCCACGTGTTTGTAACCAAATACATGATTTAGGGTTTTTTTAAAAAACAAAAACAAACCAAACACCACTACCCGTACAAACACCCAAGAATGTATGACATTTTGAAAAGGGAGAGCACTTTCCTTGATGCCTTTTAAAGACGGGGGGCTCAAGTCTGTGAAGAATCACTTCTGCGTATCCTCTCTGTTAGTTGAATTGGCCGCCGCCGCCGCTGCTTAGGAGCCCCAGTTGAACAGACCGAGATTATAAAAGTAGCACCTCTTGGTGGGCTGCACCCTGCCTCCCCCCACCCCCAGTTTGTTTATGGCAGTGCAGGTAGTAACAACTCTATTCCATCCGTTGCTTGGTCAGTTCTGAAACAGGTTGTTGCTTTCCTTGCAAGTCTCTCACGATGGGCATCAGCGGTTGCTCAGGACGCCCGGCCAAGTCAAAGGCTACTGCCGTTCCCTCTTCTCACCTCCTCTTTGGAAACGATGATCTGTGCTTCCTTCCACCGTTGCCCCTTTTGTTGCACGCGATACATACCTGTTGCACTGTAGCATCGTCTTTCTGTTTTCTTTAAAGTCGGGGGCGAGAGATGCAACCGGAACACTTCTCCTAGCATTTGCCAGTACTTTTCAGGTAACTTGTTGTCAAAAGAACTGGATTCGAGGTCTCTCCCCCCACCAGTGATTTGGAATGTAAAACGCAAATTTTGTGCTGCATTTGCCCTGCGAAGAATGCTTTTGTGTTCAAGCTGAAAATGAGAGGAGGGCTTTCGTTCAGAAGACAAAGTAGCTCCTCTGTGTCAGAGTATTTCTCTATAATTGGGAGTATTTCTCCATCAGTTGCATGTACCTAAGGCTGGGGAATAGAAGCGGCCAGCAGAACCAGTCATCTTTCAGAATGTAAGTGGCTCTGGGTTAGTGGCGCCAGCATTTTGTTGCGCTTGTTTAAAAAAAAGGAAATAAGAGATTTCAAGATTGGTTTCTGTTTGGCTCAGGGTAGTACTGTTCAGTAGCCAGGCTTAAGTCTGCGACTTATCTTCACAGGAAGGAGGTGAGGTCACTTCACTTCAGAAGAGATCTGTGGCCCTACTTGTTGTAGGTTGCTCCATTAGATTTGAGGTATTGTGTTGTGTGGGAACTGAGATTAACTTGCCATAGCTGCTAAAAGGCAGCAGAAATTAGAACCATGGCCGGGGGGGGGGGCATTATTTGTCCTTTTTTTTTTGCCAGATAGATGATGGTAAGGCTGGGGAGAGTAAGGCTGAACACTGTCAAACCCTCTTTTAAAAAAAAATGGGGGGCAAGCTGTAGAAATCAAAAGACGACTTTGTCTATAACGCTGAGATTAGTGACAACTTCATTCATTAAAGTTGTGGCTGTTTTGAAAAGAACCATGACAACTGCTTATGTGTGGCTAACTAGCGCTTTGAAAAAAAATCTGTATCCTCCTTAACATAGCACTTAGACATTGGCCTTTAAAAAAAAAAAACTGCATTATATACTTTTCACTCCATATTTATTTTAGTTCTCCGCACTCGTTCAAGCTGGGGCTCTTTTTTTTCTTTTTTTTGTCCTTGAACCAATTAGGTATTAATTAAGGGTCTTTTGGAGGAGAGAGAGAGAGGGATAGTGAAGAGGTTGGGGTTTTTTAAAAAAAAAATGCTTACATCAAGGGCTTCGCAAAAGTACAATAATAAATCCTCAGGTAGTACTGGGAATCTTATAAAAAAATTACTTGTGAGACTTGTTGGGTCAGATCAGAATTTGAAAGAAAAGGAATATTGTTAAACAGTCAATATTTACTAGTATTGGAAACATGAAAAATACTGAGTATAGAACATGATATAATATATAATGGCTCATCCATGTGATTTGCAATACAGTATGTGATTGCTGTGTCCCCGTCAGTCTCTTTATCACTTAGTAGGGTATTGTTCAGAAGCAGCATTTGTACCCCATTTTTTATTCAAATGCATGCAGAGTCTCTTAAAAGTGTCCTGATTTAAAATAAAACACACACACACACACAAACAATCCCCCCGTGTGCTTGAAAGGTTGAAAAGAAACTTGTATTTCTGCTTCCTGATGTGCCCAGATTTATACTTGCATGACCTGATCATTTTAAATGGCCGTGGTTCCAAGGGTGTTCAGCCAAATAGGTTGGTCGGTGTTTCCTCTTTTTTAAAAAACAAAAACAACAAAAAACAGAACCCTGTATCTTGCCTAATTACTTGGCATGACTTTCTATTCAGTTTTATACGTATGCCATGTTATAACCCGGTTGTATACCACATATTTCAGCCAAGTAAGTATAGTTACAGACATTCCAGAATGTATACAAAGCCATATTCACACCTCACACATACACACAATGTATGTACATAAGTATTCTGCAGTAAAACAACTGAAAATTGAGGTGCTTCAGCCTGGCTTCAGAGGTCCCAAATAGCTTTTTTGCAAAGGCCTCTGGAAGCAAAGAGATTTTTTTAAAAAGTATGTTCTTTGTTTCCACAGACATCAGGTGATTTAAAGAGAGAGAGAGAGAGAGAGAGAGAAAATAAGAGCTCTTGGGAATAGCAGTGGGTGATGAATGAATTGTAACATTCTTCCTCCTCAGGGGGGGAACCTGTTGAATTTCAGAATGTGTCTCAGAGTTTTACAGTGACTCGATTGTACTTTATTTGCAACCAGTCAGGAAGAATGAAAAGATCTCTCTGGCTACTTGTGCCCTCTTGCGCTAACTAGGGTCACTGTTTGCCTTGTACCTGTTTGAACTAAGGGAAGACATGTGCTGCAGTGAAAACACACAGTCGAATGCCCTAGTGAAGCCCAGTGAGGTGTGTATAAGGCTTATAATGCTGAACTGTAAGCATTTTGTTTTGATGTCCTGTATATGTATGTAGTAGTTTGGGTGTGTATATACAGTAGCGTTTCAAAGTGGATGTATTGGTTAACCTATTGGGGGGGGGGTGGAGAAAAAAAAGAATCCATGTTTAAACTCGTTAGAAAGTTAGTGAGCTGCTCTGCTATATGCCTTAAGCAAATATTTACTCATCAGGTCTTTCTTTTTTACAGATTGCCATAGAAATCTTTTTTAAAAAAAATAAAATTTGGGGGAAAAAACAAGCTAAATGTTTTGGTATAATACATTTTCAGGTATATTGTCTTTTGTGTACGTCGCTGCGATGACCTCACAGTTTCAGTAAAACTGTACAGTTTTTCAATTTCTCATACAGACTTTCAGTTCTCATTTTAGCTGCAACAATAAAATTCTTTTTTGTAAAGAACTGTGTGTCTGGACCTCTCACTTTCTGTTTTTATCAAAGCTGCATTCAATCACACTGTGCTCCTTCGGCTAGCAGCGTTAGTAAGGTAAAGGTAAAGGTTTCACTTGCTCGAAAGCCAGTCGAATCCGACTCTAGGGTTGCGGTGCTCATCTCCGTTTCAAAGCCGAAGAGCCAGCGCTGTCCGAAGACGTTTCCGTGGTCATGTGGCCGGCATGACTAAACACCAAGGCGCACGGAACGCTGTTACCTTCCCACCAAAGTGGTACCTATTTATCTACTTGCAATTTCTTGCTTTCGAACTGCTAGGTTGGCAGGAGCTGGAACTAGAAATGGGAGCCCACTCCGTCATGTGGCACACTCGGGTCTCGAACTGCTGAACTACCGACCTTCCACCGCCTGCAGTTCAGCATCTGAACCACTTGAGCCACCCCGCAGCGTTATTGGTGAACTTAAAATGCACAACTCCCGCCCAAAACGGCAATTGTGTTTTAATTTTCTGCAGTAGCAGCAGCAGCATGCTTAATGTGTCATACGCACGTCTGCTTGAGCGCGAGTCTCTTCTGAAGAACATGTTTAGTCTGTCTTGACAGCATTAAGTATGCTGCTGTAATGTTAGACAATTCTCACGGGCACTGAAACTGTTTGCTGTCATAAGGGCAAAGTCGAATCTTCTGCACACTCTGCTTCTTCTGGCATACAGGGTGGAGTGGAAGTCCATAAACATGAGAAAGATGTATCCATCGCTCAGAATGGCCCAGTGAGTACTGAGTATAGAATACTGAGCACTTTTTAAACTGAGAAGCGGTCAGAATCCCAGAGTTCACAGCACTGGTACTCAATGTTCCCTCTAATGAGCAGTTCACATCCTGAGCAGAATATAATTGCTGTAATCCTAAAATGCGCAAGGGGCCGTGCAAGAACCTGTGTGGTTCCAGAATGCTGCTGAGCAGCTGCCCACACACACAGCTTAGGGGGAACACTGGTGGTACTCACTATGGGGCTTAGTCAAATACATACGCTCTCACCATCACCCAAAAGAGCCGCATGGCTACTGTATGCTTTGTGCAATAACCTACCAAACACACACATCAAGAAGTGTATAACAACGAACCAAATTTTCATTGCACCAAAATTAAATTCCACTAACTTATCCGCTGCATGTATTTATGCCTGATGTCAAGAGGAGCAAAGCAAAACACCCAGAAACTGAAATTCGAAGAGTTGGAGATGGCATGTGAAGGAGCCACATATGGCTCTCCTGTCATAGACAGAGTGCCACTGGTTTACAGTTACCTACATACTGTGAAGTTATTCTTCCACAACCCTGATTTTCTCTCCCCACCCACCGCTTTCCCATCTGCATGAGAAGGAAGCAGCAAAGACACACAACCCTGATTTTCTCTCCCCACCCACCAACCCACCCACCGCTTTCCCATACTGCATGAGAAGGAAGCAGCAAAGACGAACCAAAACCCTCTTGCATTGCACTATCCAGATTCCAGCTGGTGCCTACTAATTTCGCCTCAAAGCGTGGCAGTCAAGGGCCATCGCGATCTAGTGCTGGACTGCCACTATAATTGAGGTGCCATTGTGCAGAAAGCTTCTTGACAAGCAACTGTATTGTGAAACAGGAAGCTGAAAGGGGAGGTGGGCTAAACTTCCCCGTTCTAGTGCTTGTGTCATTGGAAGAAACGGGTGCCTTCACATGCCCCCCTATCTCGTAATGGTTAATGCATGCAAATAAAGATCTGTATCAGTACTGCAGAAGATGGTCAGATTTTTGTCTTCAAGCTAGGGAAAGGAGTAAATACAGCAATGCTATGTTCTGCATGTTTTGTGCTTGAATTTTCTTTCTCCTGGGCCCTATGCAAGCAAGCCTGCTGTGATGGATTGCATAGAAAAGCAGGCTTTTTCAAAATGCTGCTTGTGTCAGAGAGTTCAAGAGTTAATCTTCCCTGGAAAGTTTATGTGATTGGCTGCTCTACTCACTCTCTGATTAACCAGCATCAGCTTAGAGAGGAAATAAAATATCTGATCTGGAGGGAAAGGTTTCATTTGGCTTTTGGTCTTTGTCTGAAATCTAATGTCTGGATCAGTAGCCAAAAGGTTTGGCTTCTAAGGGAAGAGACTTTGGGAGTCAGAGATTTCTGTCAGGGAATTGTCAGAAAAGTACTTCTCTCTCTAGAAAAAAAGAAGAGGGACCCCATTCTCTAAGATACATTAAAACTAATCTGAGGGAAAATTCAGATTCTCAGTCAAGAACGCTACAACACTGCTTTATTCAGACATATAGTACTGGAAGAGGAATTTGGCAGGAGGTTTCAGGAGTTAGAGAGAACAAGCCAAATAAGAAAAGGAATTGTGTCCCCTGCTTCCCAAAGTATCAACTACAACACTTGACCAGTGTTCCCTCTAAGCTGAGTTGGGTGTGAGTTAGCTCACAGTTTTTTACCCTCTGGCTCACACATTTTTCTCTTAGCTCAGGGAGGATGGCTCTAGAGCAAACTAATTTATGCAGCAGTCAAATCACTCGCTCACAGCTTCAATGCCAGTAGCTCACAAGACTCCACAGCTTAGAGGGAACATTGCACTTGACCTATTGTTTATATTTCATAGAGGTAGCAAAGTTGAAGAAAAACACTGGTTATGTTGCAAATGCTTTAATAAAACTTAAAAAAACCAGAATATATAAACCAACCCCAGCAATAAATACTGAAAAGGTACAGAGCACAAAATACTGTATAAAATATATACACTATAAGCCAAGGGCCATGATCCAGTAATGGGAACCTGGGCACATGCTTGGAATTTTCTCATTCAACCCTGGGGGAAACACCAGTGGCACCTGTGGATGCTACAGCCCCCTCTCAGCCATGGTTACTCAAAGGTCTCACTGAATTTCATAATGTACTTTTAAGTAGATCTGCTTAGGAGTGCAGCTGTAGACCTAAAAGTAGTACTCAGCAAAGTCTAGATTCTTAAGCCCAGAATGAAGGCCTCAAATAGGAGTTGATGGTGTATTGCTGGTGTTAGACACTGGTGCGTCTACCTTAAGAAGTGTGTTGTATCTTTCTGCTAGCGGGACAGCTGCAGCCGGTCACAAATCTCTCCAAGTTTCACTTTGTATCTTCGGGCTCACAACACGTTGGTGCTAAGTTTCTCCCATAATGCAGCAAGAACACCAAACTGATTTCAGATTAATTTACCGTTGTGCCTTTAGAAATAGGCAGTCGACAATTTTTGATCCGCAAGATTAAATGGAGAATATACATTATCTTCTCTCTTCTTCTTTGCCTGAAGAAGGATGCACACTGGTCTTGGTTTGCAGCTGTAGGAGATTGGTGGTGCAAGTGCCATCAAGGCACAGACAACTTACGGCGACCCTGTAGGGTTTTCAAGGCAAGAGACATCCAGAGTTGGTTTGCCAGTGCTTGCCTCTGCGTTGTGATCCTGGACTTACTTGGTGGTGTCCCTCCCAAGTACTAACCGGGGCCAACCCTGCTTAGCTTCGGAGACCTGATGAGATTGGGTTATCCTGGGCCATCCAGGTCAGGGCTGATTAATAGATTGCCAGTTAAGAAAAGTTTATTTATTTGTTTATTTATTTTCATTTATACCCCGCCCTCCCCGCACGCGGGCTCACTCACTCCGTTCACTCACATGGATCTCCAGTTTGTTTTCCCTGCACACATTTTCCTGCTAGAGCACCAGATACTGCTGAGAGAATTTGCAAGAAAACACCTCACAGCCTCGACAGAAGCTGCTTGAATATCCTTTTCATCACTGGGGGGGGGGGAAACTCATACGGAACTTCGGTGTATTGTTCGCAGATTGTTTAAATTACTCTTATCCCACTTTTCTCCAACTGGGCACACGGCAGCTTATATTATTAAGCCAGACATACTGCAGACTTAACATCTGTGGTTAAGCTGAAGAAGGGGATCATGTGGCTATTTAATTGTCTATGTTTATGTGATCAATATTTTTTTTTCTTCTTGACACTTGCCAGCAGTGGTAAAATCCTGAAACTCCGTTCTGTTTCTGGTAGTAAACGCTGAGCTGAGACAGTTTAACAGCTGATACAGTCTCTTCCGTATGCTGGAGCAGTTTCACATAAAAGCAAGTGCCATTTGCCTTAATGGTAAGGAAGTTACTGTTTAAAATACTGTGATTTCAATTTCAGCTTCTTGGTACATAGTATCCCTCAGCTCACAACAGATTTTGTCCATTTTCTCAAAAGCCAGCCGTCCTTTTTCACCTGCGTGGAAAGACACAGAGGGAAAAGGGTGGGTAGTGTATGACTGTTTGCAAAAAAAAAACCTCCCTTCCACAGAAACTCTTTCCTCAGCAGCCTGTTGCTTCTGTAAGTACACTGGCCAGTTCACAGAGCCATATGAGAAGGATTCACTATGAAGAAAACGTTCAGAAAAAGGAAAGGAAACTCCAGTTGGTACAAAATGTGGGGACCAGGATGCTATTGGGAGCTGGATACAGGAATCATATCACCCCTGTACTGGAAGCTCTGCTCTGGTTGCCTCTCTGTTTCAGGCATTCGGGGTGTCATAAGTGGTCTAGAGGGAGCTTTTTCTCCCCATCCCATAATTGGGCACCCAATGAAGTTGTTGGGAAATAGGTTCAGGACAGGACATACATCTGTACTCATAGACAGCTTTTAAAGGGAGGGTTGATTCATGGAGGAGAGGCCCATCTGGCTACTAGCGATGGTGACTGAAGGGAGCCTCCAAAGGCAGCAAACCTCTGAATACCAGCGCTGGGAAGCAGCAGTGGGGGGCTCAGCCTCTGTGTCCTGTTCGTGAGGCCCTCCAGGGGAACTGGCTGGCCACTGTGTGAAACAGGATGCTGAACAAGATGGACCACTGGTCTGATCCATCACAGCTAAGGATGGGCACGAACCAGGGAAAATGGAGGCTTGTGGACGTTCATGGTTCAGCGTTTTCACGAACCACGAAACTTCACAAACTTCTCCATTCCATGAACCGGTTCGAGATCTGGGAAGTTCGTGGGGCTGCAGTCTCACCTGGAAGTGAGCTCCAAAGGCATTTAAATGCCTTTGGAGCTTACGTACGAGTTGAGCTGCCTGGAGCTCCAAAGGCATTTAAATACCTTCAGATCTCACCTCTGGGTCCGGCCAGTCCAAGAGTGAGCTCCAAAGGCTCCAAAGGGCTGCCCAACTCAAAGCTCCAAAGGGCTGCCCAACTCAACTGAGCTCCCAGAGTGAGCGCTGAAGGCTTTTATAGGCCTTATATGCCCTTATATGGTAAGGTAAGCTCTGAGGGTATTTTAAATGGCGTCTGAACCCTCCTACGAACCGCACGAACCTCTATGGAGGTTTGTAGGTGGATTGTGGGAGGTAGCTCTCCCAAACCCCTGGTTCATAAACCACAAACCAACCTGATCCGTGCTCGAATCACAGTTTGTTTATGGGTTCGTGCCCATCCCTAATCAGTACTCTTCCTGCATTTTTATGTATTTGTTCTCTACTGCTCCAGAAGGCAGAAGCAGTAGATCTAATAGGCTTAAGTAACAGGCTGGTGATTTTCAGATGGACATTAGGAGAAACTTCCTAAGGGGTGAGAGCAGTTCAACAATAGGATCAGTTACCTCCAAGCAAAGGCTGGCAGCCATCTGTCAGGAATGCTCTAATTCATTATGTGCCGGGGGGGGGGCAGGATTGCCTATTATATTAGGCCCCTTCGAACTCTAGAATTCTAAGGGATACAGCTGATAAAATGCATCCAAGGAACGTAAACCTTGTTTGCCATTTAGACATCTTTGTTCTATCTTGCCTCCAGTTATTTGCACGGTGTGACGTAGACTGGGTACAGTTGGTTCAGGACCAAATTTTTCATCAGGGGAAGGGAACTTCCATGCTTTCCCCTCCCACTTCAGCCCACTGATCTCCATGAAATGCTGCCCCTGGGGGGGAGCAGAGGATGCTGAAGAATTATGTGGGGGGGGGTTGCAGGAGGAAGGGGGAAATCAGTGGAAATTGATGGTTTAGTCTGCATCCAACCCATAGAGTTAATTTGTGCATTAGATTGATGACAGAATTCTGAGGTAATATAAACTTTACACTGCAGGCTTGTGCACGAGGCTCGTAAGCTTGGATCTGCCAGACTTTTTCCTCAGGTGAGATGACTTCCACCCACAGAGTGCACCTTTCCCACTTCTCACAGCAGCCCAAAATGCCCTCTGGAATTCTGTTCCCGGAGGACTTGGAGAGGCATTTTAGGTTGCCATAGCAAGGGGGTCAAGAAATGAGCTCCACGTAGGTGGAAATCCTTCCAACTGAGGAAAAACTGCAGCGGCAAAGCCATAATTTTGAATTTGCCACCACGTTAAGCACTCATCACCTGTGGTGTGCTGGCAGACTACAGCCAGAGAGCTCAAAGCTACAACTGCCACCTTTATCTTGGGCTACAGTCCAAAATGACAGTGTTCGAAAATCTACATCCTCATTCTGAGCAATGTGGGAATTAACTCTCAGCAGATCTTTGGATGTTACATGGATGTTACAGTACCAATCCCCTGCTTGCGGTGTGAGATCCAGAGGAAGAAACGGCGCACCTTCTGGGCAGAATAGTTTGGATCTCTGACGTTCTCAGATAGGACAAACAACAAAAAGAGAATCTGAAGTACATATTCTTCTACTAGAACCAGAATAAGCAGAGAATTGCTAAAACACTCACCAAACGAGAGAGTCGTTTCTCTGGCAGTGTTCCGTACTTCCTCCGTCTCGGAAAGACACAGGCTGGCGATTTGTTCTATACTTTCAATGCCCTGTTTTACAGAAGAGAAAAGGGGGGGGGGAGCAGAGAAGCAGAACAGAAACCACCGTTTAATCACTACAAAGTATCTCATCACCACAACATCACCATGTAATGTCCTCAGGCAGCCAAAATAAAGCAGAAGTCTAGCTGCGCCTTGAAGACAAACAACATTTACTCTGGCGCAAGGTTTTGCGAGTCAGAGCTCACTTCCTCAGGTGCCTGTGAAGATGTGAGCTCTGACTCACGGAAGCTCATGCTGGAATAAATGGTGCTAGTCTTCAGGGTGCTGCGAGACTCTTGAGAGTCCCTTGGACTGCAAGAAGAACAAATCAGTCAATCCTCAAAGAAATCAACCCTGACTGTTCCCTGGAAGGCCAGATAATGAAACTGAAGCTCAAATACTTTGGCCACCAAATGAGAAGGGAGCACTCACTGGAGAAGACCCTGATGCTGGGAAAGATTGAAGGTCAAAGAAGACGGGGACGGCAAAGGATGAGATGGTTAGACAGTGTCATCGATGCAACGAACATGAAATTGAGCAAACTTCAGAGGACGGCGGAAGACCGGAAGGCCTGGCAAGATCTGGTCCATGGGGTTGCGAAGAGTCGGACTCGACTGTGCGACTGAACAACAACAACAACTAACACAGATAGACAGTGTTATCAAATGCAACGAACATGAAATTAAACAAACTCCAGAGGACGGCGGAAGATAGGAGGGCCTGGCGTGATGTAGTCCATGGAGTCGCAAAGAGTCGGACTCGACTGTGCAACTGAACAACAGCTAACACAGGCATCCCTCTGGAATTATAGCGGATGACCAACCAGGGTCATGGGTGCCACTAGCAGTGGAGATTCCTGATACTCATGGAGAGACGACACAGAGCCTGCAGGCCCAGCTAAGGCATCAAGCTCTGCCCGTGTTCCAGTTTGTGTAAACAATACCGGATTTCTGCTTGCTGCCCAGAAGCAAAACCGGACTGATATCCCAAGAGACCAAGGTACAATGTATGTACTGAAATGCCTACTGGAGTGGCACACGCTCGCCAAAGAGACTGGCCACCAGTAGAGCTGGAAGGGACCCCCAAGGGCCATCTAGTCCATCTCCTGCTCAGTGGAGGAAATTCACAGCTACCTGAACCCCACTCCCCCAGTGACCCCCTGCTATGTGCCCAGATTGTCTGCAACTGCAATATATTATTAAATCAATCAACACAAACTAAAGCTCGATTCCCAGCTGGACAGAGAATTTTACAGAGGATTAAAGAGGGTTACAGGAGATTGCGGAGGCATAATCCGCTAGGATCATCCACGTAAGCCCCCTCTAACAAGCCTGCCTGCGTTGCAGCGTGCACCGTCCCAGCGATGCTGCTCTTTCTTTCAGTGAGGCTTCTGCTTGAGCATTCACGACTCTTAAGCACACAAAGCTCTGTGGGCACGTGCGAGAGACTAGAAACGTTCCTGCATATTGTGTAATGCTCTCTGCTTGGCGGGGGAGACAAGTTCCCAAAGAGGAATTAAACACTTTGCAACAACAGTCACAAAATCACACCTGTACACATGAATGGATTAGCCAGAGGGCATTAGAGCGGATTGGTCGTTAACGGTCCACCCCAGCAGACCCCTGCGCGAGCACAGCAGGGTGTGGCAGCTGACACGGAGGCTCCCACGTGGCTCAGAGGGTGGCCGTTTCCATCCATGCCTGGCGTGGTGCCCCTAGTCCCAGGCGACTTACTTAGGTACTTCATTTACAGACCACTTTTCTCCCAAATGGAGACCACATGTAGCTCACAACATCATTCTCTGCATCTCCATTTTATCTTCACAACAACCCCCCTGTGAGGCAGGGTAGGCTGAGAGCATGTGAGGCAGGGTAGGCTGATGACAGAGTGAGCTTTCGAGCCTGGGTCTCCCTCATCCCGGCCTGATATTCTAATTACTTACACCATGCTGGCTCTTGCCAGCAGATGAGCTGTCTGACCTTGCCTCGTGGACTACAACAGAGCCCCAGTGGGGCCATGAAAGGGGCAGAACACGCTGGTAGAACATGCTGCAGTGCATGGCGGGGGAGTAGGGTTGCCAGGTCTGGGTTGGGAAATACCTGGAGACTTTGGGGGTGGATCCAGGAGAGGGCGGGGTTTGGGGAGGGGAGAGACCTCAGCATGGTACAATGCCATAGAGTCCATCTTTCAAAGCAGCCATTTTCTCCAGGGGAGCTGATCTCTGTCAGCTGGAGATCAGTTGTAAAAGCGGGAGATCCCCAGGCCCCACCTGGAGGCTGGCAACCCTAGAGGGGAGGGGGGTCCTGACTGACAGGCATAGCTATGCCGCCAGCATCTGCAACTTGCTGGGACAGCTGCCAAAGATCTCTTCAAGCAACAAGAAGTAATACTGGAAAGACCTGTTAGCTAGTTTGCTGGTATTCAAATGCCATCCTGCCCAGGGCCAGTTCCAGGTTCTGGTGGGCTCCGGGCAGAGAGTTCCCAGGGCCACCACCAGGCCTCTTGCTCGTGCCCTCCTTCCCTCCCACCCACCCACCCACCTCCCAATATGCCCTTCTCCTGCCTGCTTGCAAGTCCTCCCACTAGCCATGCTCACAGCTGTCTGACCACCCACACCCCTTTCCCCAGCAGCAATGGCAGCATGTGCAGCTGGGGAGCAATGGTAGCAGAGGGGTAGAGCCGGTCAACACCAGTGGGCCACTCCAGGAGCCCTGGGCCTGGGCAGCTTCTCCACTTCAGGGTATGCTGATACCAACCCTGATCCCACCACCTTCCCATCAGCAGCCAGGAACTTTCTGTTCCCCTCAGCTGACCCCCTAGGAATGATCCTGCATTTGGAAATGTAACAACCATATTGGGTTGTACTACCATATGTGATAGGATGTAAGAAGAACTCTGTAAGCTCTTGGAGGATTGGCTACATTAGGGGTGTGTGGCCTAATATGCAAAGGAGTTCCTGCTACAAAAAGAGCCCGTACTACCATATGTGATGGACATGTAAAAAGGTTCATAAGTTCTGAAGTGCATACTTTCTTACAGTCGATCTTGAATATCACAACACCTTTTAAGCCAGAGATATTTTTTGTTAAACTGTTTACCAGATGAATTAGATAAGAATCATAGATATTTTATTTTATATGTTATAACGGCTGCCAGAATTTTATTTGCAATGGCATGGAGGACGTTGAAGATTCCAACACTACATGAGTTGATATTGAAGATTATGGACTGTGCTGAAATGAACAAGCTGACAAATATATTAAAAGAGAAAATGGAAGAAGAATTTATGGGACCCTGGAGGGCATTTTATGACTGGTTAAAACTTAAATATTAAGAAAATAGGATTAAGTGAAAAATAGTAAGAATGATAGATGAAGTAGTTGAGAAACTGTAATGAGAAGATATGCATGCAGAATGCTAAATTGGAATTTTAAAATATTTTCTGTATTTCTCTTCTCTTCCTTCCTTTCCCCCTTCCCCCCTTTCTGTATATAAACTAATATTTTTTTTTAAAAAAGGAAAAAAAGAATGATCCTGCATTGAGCAGGGGGTTGGACCAGATGGCCTGTATGGCCCCTTCCAACTCTGTGATTCTGTGATTCTATGAAAGCAAAAACAGGGATGTTGCATTTTGCCTTATGGGGTTTTACTTATTTATTTATTTTTATATCCTCGGTATGTTTCGAAGATCCCATTTTAGTGACTATTGCCCCCTCTGCTGGCCACGCATGAAACACAACTGAACTCAGAGCATCACTTCCCCGAAGAACTTGCAAAAACTTACTCTGAGGTTTTTGAGGGCCAGGCATGCAGCTTGCTGTAGTTTTGTGTCATCGTTATTTAAGACATCCGTGTAAAAAAGAAGTGCCTGGAAAACACAACGAGACATCCAGTTCACTGTTAACCGTTGCTCTAAACAGCCTCAATGTCAAGGCCAGAACTTGCTGTCCCAAAGGCCACAACCAGATCCGGCCCCCCCCCCGCCCCCGCCATTAGCTTTCTATCACCAAAGCAAGACAGAATGGGAAATATGGGAAGGGGTGGTGACGAGCACAAGGGCTGGATGGTTGGATTGTCAGGGTAGGATCTGGGACACCCACCTCTGAATCACCACTCGTGGCATGGAAGCTTGCTGGGTGACCTGTGGCCAGTCACACATGCCCAGTCTAACCTACCTCAAAGGGGGGTGGTTGTGAGGCCACGCGGTCTGGACTGGATACATTACAGTTCTCGTGGACACTGGAAATGCCAATCGCCACTTTGGGGTCAGACAGCAATTTTTCTCAAGGCCAGTTTGGCCAGGGATCCTGGAGGGGGGGGTTGGCCATCTTCTGGGCATGGAGCAGGGGTCACTGGGGTGTGTGGGGGGGGGAGGTAGTTGTGAATTTCCTGCTTTGTGCAGGGGGTTGGGCTAGATGACCCTGAAGGTTCCTTCCAGCTCTATGATTCTATGTATCTAAATTAATACATTTCCAGCTGACCATGTTGAAAAGAACAATAGATTCGAGATTCAGGGTTTAAGCTTTCAAGTGTCAAAGCTCTACTGCAGACCAACACTCTGAAATCATCTGGCTGAAAAGAAGCAGCCATTTAGCACGTTACCATCACTCCAGATCAAAATGCTCCCCCACCCCAATATATCCCCCATAGCAAACCAGCTGCTGTTTCTTGGGTGATCTACTGTTTAAGATTCTGTTCAGCAACCAGCATCTATCTATAAATTTTTATCCTGCCTTTTCTCTAAGAAGCTCGGGATGTCATGCTGATGACCAAAATGCCAGGAAAAAATCCTGCCAGGCTCCATTCTGGACCTGTCAGTTTCTACCCAGACGTAATTCCCTGCTTCCCAGTCTCTCCTTTGAATCTGTCTGCTCTTGCCTTCACTGCACGAGCCCCATAAGAACATAAGAGCCCTGCCAAATGAGGCCAGTGGTCCATCTAGTCCAACATCGTGTCTCTCACACAGTGGCCAACCAACTGGAGGGCCAGCAACAGAGCAAAGAGGTTGAGACCTTCCCCTGATGTTGCCTCCTTGCACTGATATTCAGAGGTTTATTGCCTCTGAATGTGGAGGTTCCCTTTAGTCACCATGGCTTGCAGCTGCTGATAGAGCTATCCTCCATGAATTCTGCATTTTAATCACCTGTTGTATGATAAAGTATTTCCTTTTGGCCATCCTGCATCTGCTGTCCATCAGCTTCCACTGGATGACTTCGAGTTCTAGTATTTTGAGAGAGGGAGAAAAAATTCTCTCCTTCTACACTCTCTACCCTGCTGAAGAAGCTGCAGTTTTTTGCAATTTTTGCAATCAACTCTAGTTCTAGGCCTTAGTGTCCCATACGGCCCAGGCAAGCCCAGTCTCATCAGATCTTGGAAGCTAAGCAGGGCCGACCCTGGCAAGAACTTGGATGGGAGACCTCCAAAGAATACCAGGGCTGGGACGCAGAGGCAGGCAGTCGCAGGCCACCTCTCTGAAACATTCAAACCATGACTTCCAGGCACACACACACAGAGAACTCACAAAAAAAACCCCAAACTCAAGTTCCGAGTCCCCCCCCCCCCCCATACAAGCCAAAGCGGGTCTACTCAGAATCCTACTCGGGTATATTCAGCAGAACTTACTCCCAGGAAGGCAGGATTACACTGTTAAGTGTCCCAAGGGCTTAAAATGATTAAATTACATTAACTCCATCAGTCACTGCAAGACACTCATCTCTGGTTTGGAACACCCGGTTTGCTGAACAGCACACCGCTGCACTAAGTATTGACTTGCAAGTTAAATACTGTCTTCATGTTTTTATCCCACCCTTCTGCCAAGGGCAGCACACATTGTTTCCTCTTCCTTCAGTTTTATCCTCAAAACAACCCTGTGAGGTAGGTGAGACTAAGTAAGAGTGACTTGCCCCAGGTCACCCAGCGAGCTTCCGTGGCAGAGTGGGGCTTTGAACCTGGGTTTCCTACATCCAAGTCTGGCACTCTAACCACTACACCACACTGGCTCTTGCAGGTGTTAAAATGCCTTAGTGTCCCATACAGTATTTGGGGGTTGCCTATAAAGACGTTGCCAGCAGAAGGGGGCAATTCGTACCTTTTCCCTGAAACTCCTATTGGCTGCTGCACGCAAGAGGCAGGATACAGCTGCTTTGCCAACGCGATGGTTTTCATCCAGCTGCAGAAGAGCTAGTAGCCGCAAGGTCTCTGGCAGGGGCACCAGCTGCCTCAGTCGCTTCCCTTTCAGTTTCTTTATTTTCTTCATCCTCCCAGGATGCTTCAAGTCCTCAATTAACAGCACTGGAAGCGGAAGAGCCACAAATGTTTGAAAAGTGAATTTCGTTCATGTCTTTCCTCAGCTGGGCATAGGATTGTCAGACCCCCCGGTGGAGGTGGGGGTCCCCCACCACCAGGCCCTGCCCCCCCAGCTGCCAATCAGCTGGCCAGCAGGGGGACTTACCAGTAGAAAGAGGAAGGCTTAGGCCATGTCACTTACATTGCACAGGAAGTGATGTCATCATACCAGTGACGTCTGGGTGATGCTCTAGTATTTGGGCAAAAACTCTATGGTAGAAACCGTTTTCACCATAGAGTTTTTGCCCAAATACCAAAGTGTTGCCTAGACATCGCAGTGTGATGATGTCACTTCCAGTGTGACCCCACCAATGTGGCCTGGGCCTTCCTCCTTCTCCTGGTAAGTCCTTCCCCCATCCGTTGCCAGTTAGCAGGGGGGCAACTAGCCACTGAGACACATCACTGAGCAGTGCCATTTAAGTAGTTAAACCTGAAGGTACATATGAACTTTTGAAGCTACCTTGGATGGAGTCACATGACATAACGCAAAATAATGACTTATTTTAACCATGGCTATTTTGTGAACACTCTGACAAGAACATCGCTGGAGAAAAAGCCAGGATTTAAGCCAGAATGCATATATTCAGACATCACATAAAACCATAGTACAGTAGTCAGCAGCCTGGCCCGCATCCAGACAGTCACCTTAAACATCAGGTTGAATTCAGTGATCCATCAGCAGAAGGTGCAGAAGGTTACGGCTTGAATTCTCCTCTCTCCATCAGTCCTTTCCGACCTGCCCTTGGTCCCCACTGCAGCATCCTGACCCATCTGGCTTTACTCCACACAGGTCCTATGACCACAAGATTAAACTTTCCTAAGACTGGAAATGGCTGCTAGAGTAGGGGACTGCAAGAAAGAGCTGTGACTCTTGTATTTGCTGATCATTGGGTCCATTAGTTTAATGGTTTTGTGCAATGTCTGAACTGAACCCATTAGTCCACCAGGTCCAGTATTGTCCACTCTAACCAGGAGCAGCTCTCCAAGGTCACAGAAAGAGACAGGTTATTTTCCCAGCCTTCTTACCTGAGACTGGATTTGCACACAAAGCATGACCCCTCAAGGTACTATCACATCCTATCCTGTCTAGTTTTCAGAGCAAGAGAGTGAATACAGTTTATGAAATAGTAATTAGTACATTCTAATGTATTTGATAAAGTGTGCGTGCATACAAAAGCTCATACCATGAATAAACCTTTGTTGGGCTTAAAGGTGCCATTGGACTCTCAGTTTGTTCTAGTTAGTACAGTGTGCATGTAGTCACTTGGTACCGGTGGTCACCCATATTGTTCTGCCATGCAGTGAGAATGTTATCCATCCATCCATCATTTCATCACAAAGAGGAGAGTGTCTGGGAGGCAACCCAGCCTCTAATTGTCCCAGTATCTCCAACCAAATCATAAATTTGGCCCCACCCACTTACCTTCTTTAGCGAATCTGGCCAAATATTTCTCCAAATCCCTCACCCGGTGTTTCTCCAGGTAGCTGTAAAACTGGAATAACGTCACAGATTCAGGTGGGAGATTTTCTGGAGGAAATAACAGGCTACCACCGACTATCTGCTCCAGGAATGTCTGCAACACTGAAGGAGAATGCAGAGAAACCTAAATCTAACGGAAACTTTTTTAAAAAATGGGGATTTTTGTTGGGTATTTGCATGTTGAAAACACTCAATGTGTGTTTTGAGAGCACCAGAGAGCTAATGTGGCACAGATGCAAAAGACTGACATTTCCGGCTCAGATCTTGCCTCTGCCATGAATTCGGACAAGCACTTCACTCTGTGTCCTTCAGCACCTGAGCTGCAAAACAGAAATAAAAATTCTGACCTCCCTAGCAGGATTGTTCTAACTAAGGATTGTTTGTGAATGTTTAGTCTGGAGAAGAGGAGGCTGAGGGGGGACATGATTGCTCTCTGGAAGTATTCGAAAGGCTGTCCCTTAGAGGAGGGCAGGGAGCTGTTCCTGTTGGCAGCAGAGGAGAGGACTCACAATCATGGGTTTAAATTAAGGGGAGGAAGGTACCGGCTGGATATTAGGAAAAACTTTTTTACAGTAAGAGTTGTTCAATCAGCTGCCTAGGGAGGTAGTGAGCAGTCTTTAAACTGACTGGCAGTCTTTAAACAGCAGTTGGACAAACACTTGTCAGGGAGACTCTGGGCTGATCCTGCATTGAGCAGGGGGTTGGACGAGATGGTCTGGATGGCCCAGCTCTGGGATTCTATGATTCTATCATGCATGCAAGCCTTTTTATACTATGCAAAAAGCAGCACAACTTAAACTCTAAACTGGCCCTGACCTGGACAGGCATCTCCATCCTCTAAACTGGTATTCAGGGTGTGGGGGGAAATTGTCCTCCCCAAAGTCCATTTTGAACAAAGTATTTGATCTCTGAAAAATTTAGAAGATTTGCTTTGTGGCATTGAATAAACAACTCCTAATTCTTGGTTTTCTAGCCTCTGTTCTCGATTATACAAGAAATGTAATGATTTGAGAGCTGTCGAGGAAACAGGCATTGTCTTATTTTTTGTCAAATACAACAGATGCTGGCATTGTATTCTGTGTTGCTGAAAAAATTCGGAAGCATAGATGAGGCAGCAGAGTACACCCTTGCTTATATGAGAAGAATTCTCTTCAGACGGGCTGTAATTCATGTATTCTGTTTATGTCAATGGGAGCCACTGAACTTTGTGGGAGGAGAAGAAGAAGAGGAGGAGGAGGAGGAGGGGGAGGGGGAGGAGATTGTATCTGAGATCGGAGTCTCAGAGCGGCTTACAAAATCCTTTCCCTTCCCCTCCCCACAACAGACACCCTGTGAGGTAGGTGGGGCTGAGAGAGCTCTGACAGAAACTGCTCTTTTCAAGAACACCTCTGACAGAACTATGGCTTGCCCAAGGTCATCCAGCAGCTGCAAGTGGAGGAGTAGGGAATCAAACCCAGTTCTCCCAGATTAGAGTCCATGCACTTATCCCCGGCATCTCCATTTAAAGGGATCAAGCAGGACAGGAAGTGACAAGACCTCCATCTGAGACCCTGGAGGGCTGCTGCCAGTCTGAGTGGAGAACACTGACCTTAATGGTTGAAGGTCTGACTCAGTATAAAGGTAGCTTCATGTGTGTGTGCAACTGTTTGCTGCCCTCCTGACTGGCACAGTCACCCCACTGGCAAGCAGGGACAATGTCTGTACTTACTATGTATGTGTGTATATACTTGGCACATGTCAACAACACTCTTGGTTTAGATAATGTCTGATTCCTCTGGCACAGGTGTGGAGCTGTAGTACCCTCTGGGGCTCCCTTCTTCCCTGGCATGGTCTTAGGAGGGCCTCAGTGGACACTTCACATGTCCTAATGGCAAATAGGTGTGTTTCCCAATTTGAGCAACATGGAGACTGCACTTTCCAGGAGTTTCATGGGTTGCATGCGCTCCCAATATGCACAGCTGGAAGGCTTCAGGCACCTGTGATTGTAACATCTGATAAAGAAAAGAAGCATCAACCAGTCCTTTGCCAGTGGATAGTTTAAGCATTTCACACCTTTGGATCTATCCAGGTCCAAAGCTGCTACCAAAATACAGGAAATTCCTGCGGGTCTGAACTTCTGTTTTCTGAACGCCTCTGTTATGTCTACAGCAAGTCCCACATTTGTTTTAAAAATAAACAGGGGATAATCTCAGTCCAGTTTAATAATACCATCAAGGGTCTTTTGTACCAGGGGCAGACACGTACCTTTATCTAGGTGTCCCGGATACTTCTCCTTTGTTCTAAACATCAATATGTATTTTAGTGGGTTCCAAAATCTCTCCACTGGGCAGAGCAAGATGCTTCCCCGGTCAGTACACTCACTCCAAATCTTCAGGCAATGCTTCTGCTTTTTAGCTTTCTGGATAACTGCGGAAGGTAGATTTTTTTGGAAAGTCAGCAAAGGTGCAGGAACTTCCTTTCAGTGGAAAGTGAAATACCAGATGGCATGGCTGAGATGGAGCCAATGCAAATTGGTATACATGCAAACACACATAACACATAGGGGAATGTATCGGTGGCTGCCCAACTATGCCATTTGCATGTTCCTAAATTTGGAAATAGCCCGATACAACACCCTTTGCATCCAGGATTGGCTCCTGCCTTCTTGCAAGTCAAGAGTCTCAAATATCTTCATGAAACAAATGTTTATATGGGAAATCAATGCGCAGATTGTCCACTGTTTCCTCTCCATTTTGCACCCAAGGGAGAGGTGGGAGGCTATCCGAAGTGGTAGATCCATTTGTGGGAGGCAGTCTTAGTCAAAGGCTACAGAGGATTTCCTCACCAGTTAGATGCATTACCATGGCCTTCGCACACTCTGTGCTATAACATGCCCCCAAAAAGTTATTTATTCTGCAAACCTGATATTATCCTAATGATCAATGTTCCTGTACAGACATTTGCCCAGTGAGGAGGCTTCTTTGTTTTTGTCTGCTTAGATTACTTTTCTATTGTTTGGCATCAGGTAACTATACAATGACAACTCAGTCTTTCATAGTTCTGTGTATCAGGAGCTGGTATTTTCCTCTTACGAAAGTGGCTTGGCTCATATGTCCAAAACATTTTGACCAGTCTCACTAGATGCTTACTAATCAAGGACTTCATTCATTGTGCATTTTGTCCCTCTTTTTTTTCCTAGGCACTCTATAGCTTGAATAAATGGACCAATCTATAGTCTGGATGCAACAGAAGGTGGCATGGTCTAGCCCGATCTTGACAGATCTCGGAAGCAGGGTCAGTACTTGGATGGGAGACCACCAAGGAAGACTCTGCAGAGGAAGGCAGTGGCCAACCACACCTGCATCTCACTGGCCTCGAAAGCCCCTTCCTGGGGTTACTATAAGTTGGTTGATGGCATTTATGTCTGTATAGTCTGGATAAATGGACCACTCTTGGTTTAGATAGTGTCTGATTCCTCTGGCACAGGTGTGGAGCTGTAGTACCCCCCAGGGCTCCCTTCTTCCCTGGCATGGTCTTAGGAGGGCCTCAGACAGGCCTAGAAGAAAAGGGTTCCCTTCCACCCAATTTCCTCTCTCTCAGGCCTTCTTGCATCCTCTCCCTTTTGCAGACTCAGGAGCGGTCAAGCCATCCCTAGACTCTCCTTTTGAAGGATTACCTGTGAAAGGGATATCCCTGGCTTCTCCTTTTCTCTCCAATCCAGGGGCTAGGCCCTGTAGACTGTCAGGAGCCAGGGCCAATGGGGCTTCCCCCTGGGTTTGGATACACCCACCCTCCTGGCCTCCTCTAAAGGAGCTTTGCTTCCAGCCTGCTCTGGCCTTCCCCACCCCACCAGGCACTCTCCACCAGATCTGGCCTCCCTGTCTGGGCCCTCCCTACACAGGGCAGGTCTCACCTGGCCTCCTTCGCTATCACCACACACACACACACACACACAGGGATCCTCCAAGCCTGGCTGAGGCCTTGGCTTATTGTTGAGCTGCTCCCTTGGCTTGGCAGCTTCCAGCTAAGCCCAGCTGTCCTTGCTCTCTTTGGGTGGCTTCCCTCCCTCAGGAGGCTTCAGCCTTCTCAACTGTACAGGGCCCCTACAGTCCTCTTCTTGCTACAGCCAGCCCCAGGATGCCTCTGACCTAGTTGATAAGTGCACTGACTCTGGGCAGATAAACAGACCACTCCATGGTTTGGACAAATGGACCATTTTCTACATGGATTGACGGGTAAAGGGTTACGTGAGAACCAAAGGAGGATGGCCAGAGATAATTCCACACAGGGAAATACCTGGAGATTCAGGGGTGGAGCCTGGGAGGGTGGAGTTTAATGAGGACGGGGACCTCAGCTGGGTATAATGCAATACACGCCATGTTCCAATTGAGTCATTTTCTCCAAGGGAACTGATCTCTGTAGACTGGAGATGTAATTCTGGGAGATCCCCAGGCCCCCTCCTAGAGGTTGACAACCCTATTTCCACATCTCTGATTTTACTCAGCACGTGACTTACTCTCTTCAACAGATGTCAAATTTCGTGGCACAGGAGCAACCAGAGCGGAGATGATTTCCAGCACACATTTCTGTCGTGACACCTCTTCCAAAAGGCTCTTCTGGACAATCGGAGCTAAGTTTGGTGCAACGAGTTTCTGGAGGGCAGGGGGGGGAGAAATTATACTTCTGTTTAGTATCTTAGAACTTGCCAAGTTCAGCTGGACACGATCCAAAGGTTCCCCAGGGCCAGCAGGGAGAACACCTGCCTCCTGTCTCTCTGATGGAACACATATTGTCAACTGCAACCCAACAGCTGTGAGCTAATTGCATTTAGTGACCCCTGGTTATGAATAAAACTACTTCCTTCCTTTTGAAATCTCTACATGCTGATAACTGGCTGCCAAAATTACAGACACAGAAAAATGCATACAGATAATATAATACGGCTGTTCTTGCATTACACGCTAGAGGCCAATTCAAATGTTATGGTCCCAGTGCAGGCCTTATCGGAAAAGGGCTCACACGTGGCAACAACCTATGTGGAATCTGTAACACCTGCAAATATCCCACCATTCAGTTGGGGTTCCTCTCCACACCAATATGTGTGGACACAACAAACTTGATCCTAACTGGTATACTAGACAAATACACTTACCAGTGAACCACAAGTATCTGGAGTTCCCAACAAATAATAAACATATGGGATATCCCCATAATGCGTGAAGCAGTTCTAAAGTGACTTGGGGAGTTAAGAACTAGTAAAAAGGATGCCTTGAGGAAGGAAGGTGGCATGGTATAGCCCGATGGCATCAGATCTCGGGAGCAAAGCAGCGTCATCCCTGGTTAGTACTTGGATGGGAGACCTCCAAGGAAAACTGCTGGGGAAGGCAAGGAAAACTGCAGGGGCAGAGCCCCTTGCTGGGGTTGCCATAGTCAGCTGTGAGTCTTGATTGCACTTTACACACACAGCCAAAAAGCAGGCATTATGGATTGAAGCCACGACTTTCCCTCCCTCTAGATTTGTGTTGTCTTGCACAGAAACCTAACAGGGAAAGGCTGATACTTTCCTCCAAGATACACCAGCCACACGGAACACGCTAGCCTCACCCCAGGCTCTGTTGCAATGAATTCCCATGTAAATGTTCTTAAAGACACGTTCATGCCATCCCTCCCACTCCAGGAAAGCTGTTACGGCTCACACCAAATTCTGGGTGGAGTCCCTGTTGACTTAGATGCAATCCTGGAAGCGATTTGGCAAAGAACACCGTATCCCTGTGGTGTATCAATACGATGAACAAATCTTCTGCCTGGAAGGGCAGAGCTACTCGTAAGTAAGCATTCAGGACGAATTCAAGCATCCGTGGACACTTCCGGAAACTGGCCCCTCTATGGAGATCATGATGGTCTTGTGGATAACCAGCATGCTGACTCAGCTTTCAGGACAGCTGCAAACCAGACACCACTTGTGCTCACGCCACTGCTGATTGCCACTGCGACAAGCACAGCTACAGGATCACCACAGAGGGGGAAAGGAGCAGCCTGTAATACTGCTTGTAATCCACAGGGCTAGGGGTGGGAGATACATCAGTTAGGACACAAAGTAGTACAAAGGCAGCCCTGATCTGGATGGTCCAGGCTAGCCCAGGCTAGACAGATGTCGGAAGTTTATGAAGGCTCATTTTATCACATGTGGTGGACATGCGACAAAGCTAAGGACTTTTGGACAAAGGTCCACAGTGAAATGCAAAAGATTCTAAAATGTTCTTTTAAGAAAACGCCTGAAATTCTGCTCTTAGGTTTAAAAATGGAAGAACTGAATGTAACAAAAAAGACAATGTTCTGGTATCTGATAACAACGGCAAGAATGATATATGCTCAATATTGGAAGCAAGAAAAAATACCAGACCTGGAAGAATGGATACAAAAAGTTCTGTTCATGGCTGAGATGGATAAAATAACTAAAAAATTGAACAACAAAGAAGACCAAGAATTTTTCGAAGAATGGAAAGACTTTAAGATATATTTAGAAAAGAACTGGGACGTGAGACAAAATTTACTATGTTTAGAACAATATTAAGTACTTGATGTTATCTTGAGTTTATCTATGTGGGACATGAGGGAAGTGGATTGCGGGAAGCCTTCCGGGGGAGGGAGGGAAAAGGGAATATTTAACCAACTGATAAAAAGATGCAAAATGTGATATTAATGGAAAATAAAAAGTCTTTTGACCTAAAAAAAAAAGGAAGGAGAATTGTCTAGGCTGAGCGGAGACACTGAGCCATGCAGCAGCTTCTGTAGAAGTCTTAATTTTGCCAATAAACCTTGCTGAAAGCGAACCTGTATTTCAGTTACCTGGCACAGAACCCCTTCTTGAAACCAACAATTTTAACTCAAAGGTACCTTTTCTGTAGGATGCTTCCTCTTCCGCTTCTATGCCCAATGCTAGTTTCCCCAGGTAAGCTAACAGTTTGGATCCCATGATCCACAGATGCAAAGGCGCATCTTTTGAACTGATTGTGTTAGGCTGCCCCCGCTCTTTGGGCCAGGTTGCATGTGTTAATGCAGTGCTCGGGGGGCAAAGAATCTTGCAAGGATGGGCAACGGCCCTAAATCAGGGGCCTAGAACATATGGCTCTTTAAAAAAGAAAATCAAATCTTACCTTAATGTAATATATTATATAGTATAATAGAATAACTGGTATGTGAAAGGATAGGTGGGCAAAGATTCCTATGGGACTAAAGGGCTTCTTAAGGATGTTTTACTATTTCCAGTAATCCAAGTACAGAATATGCACAGATTTGTTCCAGGGCACTAAAACAGTAGTGCAAGGTGCTCCTCTGTATATTTAGTACCAATATGGCTCCAAGGACTCACTCTGTGCAAAAGAGGCTCATTGAAATGTGGTTTTACCCACCTGTAGAAGAGCTTCACAGAACTGCAGGTGAACGTGTAGAAGTGTGTCTAGGTCATCGCTGCCTGTGGTTAACTCTTCATTTTCTGCTTTAGTAACATAGCCCAGGGAATGAAATGTGCCATCATTGTAGGTGCTGGTGCTAAGAGAAAAAATATATATAGTTAATAGTAGGGGTGTGCAAAAAATAGTTTTTTCCCCCAATTTGGGTCTATTGGACCTGGAAAATATCAGTATTCCCAAATATTCCCAAATACCAATATTGGTTTTGTATTGGGATTCAGGTAAATATTTGGGAAACCCGAATTTATTTGGCTCCATTATACCCAATGGGGATGGTCCCCATAGGGTATAATGGAGAAGAGATGTAAACTTTAACTTGCTGAGTTCACTCGCTGATTTAAAGTTTAAATCCCTTCTGAGGTCCCTTGTCAAGTCACATCACTTGGTGAGTGAATTCAGAAGCCATTTAAAGAGGCCACAGTCTCTTTAAATGCCTTCTAGCAGAATTGTATTGGCTTTTATTTGGGCACGGTTATTTTGGTAGTCGAATACAGATCTCTGTATTTGGCTGGGGGGGAAACCTAAAAACCCACCAATAAGGTATTTTTGGGGTATTCGTTTGGCTCTGGTTATACCAAGTGCATACCCCTAGTTAATCATACAGCAAGCAGAGCAGGATCAACAGAAAATAAAGGATTGGCTCCTATGAACAAGTTCCACACATGCCAGACAGCCTCTGCCACAGAGGTTGCTTCTTCTTCTGCTAGCACATCTGTTTATGCAAGGGCTTGATCTTGTACCAACAGAAGCACTTGTGGAAGAGGATGGGAGCTCTGCCACAGAAGCTGTCTGGCGCGAATCAAACTTGTTGATGGGATCCAAGCCTATAAATAAGTAAAGAAGCCAACGTTATAACTTTCTTTGCATCAGGAGAGGCAACAGACAGTAACTGCATTCAGATATCACACACAAATTCCTATTTATTTGTGATAAGAACTAATCTGGTTTATTTGGGGACTCCATATTCACTCCCCCAAGCTCTCACACATGGATCCAAAATTAATAGTTTCCCAGTTTAGCAACTCTACTATCTAATTTGTTGTGACATCCAAATTGTAGTGCTCTAACAAACGGCAATTTTCTCCTTTTCTACAGACAAGAGATTCTAATTCAGAATTAAAGAGATTCTAAGGGGGAATTGAATCCTGCTTTAGAGTCCTGCTGTCCAGGAAAAGAAGAAATGACAAACTTCTTAAAGAGTCCAGCCATGGCAACAAATTGCACTTCCTTTCTGCAAAATGAGATCAACAAATATTTAGGGTCTACAAATAAAGTATACTGGCGGCAAACATCATCCTTGCAGAATTCCATAAGAAACAGGGCCTTTTCTGTTCTAGCCCTGTGTGTTGGTGGACCCTCCTATGAAAGGCAAACACGGTCCCCTCTAAACTGTCCTTCTGAAAACAAGTTACAAATTCTTCTTTTTTTCCCAAAAAGTGTTTGCTCGCTAGACCTGGTCTATCTGCATTATGCTACTAGTCGTTACTGCATTAGCGCTGAGTAACTAGGTTTAACACTGTTAAAATAAATGTAGCAACAACTGACACCATAGTATAGACTGAAAGGTAAAAAGACCAGATCCAGCAAGCAAAAGCACGACTTTTATACATCGTGAAGTCTTCTTTTCAAAACAAAGCACACATCTCTTGCATCCTGAGCATTCCTGTTGAAAAGCAACTTAGTCCCTTCCATGGAAGAACCCACCTGACACTGCGGGTCCTTACGCTCCCCAAGGACGACAGCTCATCTGCACTGCAGTCAGCATTGAGGAAATCAAAACTTTCCAGCGCAGTCTCAACCATCAAGCTCTCCACCGAGGAATGTTTCAGATGGTACTTTTTTGGCTGTTGGTAAACACAAAGTAAGCTGGGATTTCCCTTGTAGACAGAAACTAATTCAAATTGCTGCTGTGCCATCAAAAGCATTTAGAACATTAGACATCCACGCGCTGCAAAAGTGAAGTTGTTGTTGTTGTTTTTCTCCCTTGGTTATTTTTATACTCAAAATTAGAATGTAAGGGAAGGAGTCCTACACCATGTTTCTTATTTGGCCACTGAAATGATAGCCGTTTCATATGTGCAAACGATCATTTCCAATGCAAACCAAACCAGAGTTACACCCCTCCAATCTAACTTTAGGATTGCACTGTAAAAATTGCAATTAAAACCTTTAATATGGCATAATTAAGATAAATCTTAAGATGTGGCCATTATGCTTCTTTATCTGGCAGATCCACTTATCCTAAAAACTATCTTTACATATATATAACTGCCCATATGTTGAGGTCTTCTTATATGGCACTGCATCATATTCCCTTGAGCCAGCTTGGTGTAGTGGTTAAGAGCAGTGGCTCTCATCTGGAGAACTGCGTTTGATCCCTCACTCCTCTGCATGAAGCCTGCTGGGTGACCTTGGGCCAGTCACAGTTCTCTCAGAACTCTCTCAGCCCTCGTCTAAAAGTGATGCAAGATTTTAAATATAAAGCAGGATTTGGGCTCCCTGATTGAGGGTCCTATTATAAGGCATGTATTTTCGTTTGGATTAAGGAATGGATGGCGCTCAACAATGAAAGATTGCTTAAAATAGAAGGCCATGACCTTGAACTTGGCTGGCACGCATATTTGTGGTATCAAAAGGCAAAAGAGCATATTTCAACCCATCTTATTCAAAAATCTTTGTTGACTGTGTGAGAAAAGATCCGATGGCAGATCTATGAGGAGATTCCAAGATGGTTTTCCCCGAATGAAGCTTTTACATACCCCTTGCCTGCACTTTGTGCCAGTTTGCCTAAATATGAAGATCCTTTGAGGCCAGATGCTACTTTAAAATCAGATAAAGAATTGAAACTTCAGGGCTTTACCCCAAGTTGGTGGATGAGAATGCAGTTAGAATCTAGATTCGCAAAAGACCAACCCCAGGGTTTCTACCTACAACAAACTGGTTTTGATAAATTATTGTTAGAAACAAATGATAAGAACTCTCTCAGCTGCCCCCACCTACCTCACAAGGTGCCTGTTGTCAAAAGACCAACCCCAGGGTTTCTACCTACAACAAACTGGTTTTGATAAATTATTGTTAGAAACAAATGATAAGAACTCTCTCAGCCCCACCTACCTCACAAGGTGCCTGTTGTAGTCTTTGAGGCTCTTTAAGGTAGAGGGTATAAAAACCTACTCTTCTTCTATGCACCACAGAAAGTGAATATATCTTCCTATTAACACAGGAAGTAAACATATCTAGCAAAGAGCAGGGCGATTTTGTGCTTTACAGAATTACCTGCCTCAAGAGATATGGCTGGTTATACACTTTTCTCTTGGCCTTTAGGTGGCAGCGAAAAGCCTATCATGAATGCTTTTGGACACTGTTATCCCTGTGGATGGACCACAGCTATTGGATTATTAGCAACAGAGAATGGCTTCATGCCACCGTATTGG